GCCTGTGCCTTTACTGCCCTATGAAAATAATTAAAGATGAGTGAAAAGAAAATTTAGATATTTTGGCAATCTCCAAAGTCACATAAATTTAGTCTTCTTATTAGAAACTTGTTTTTAGTAAATATTATAAAGAATATGGGACAAGACATTTTAATAAAAGAAATAATAAATATGCAAACAAAGTTAATTTCAAACATCCATGTACTAGTTTTCCCCTAAAATATGTAACTAATTTATATCTGCTAGAAATGTGATATATACATTAAAAAGAATTAAACCTTAATTTTAAAACAGCCAATTAAAAAACAAACAATTATATGGCACGATTAGAAATAGAATACCTAAGTATTCTGATGTTAGCTTGTTTATTTATTCGTTGAACTTAAATGACAACACCTTACCCTATCTACAGGATTGTTTTAAAACGTGCCAATTGAAGCGTAAGTATCTCCAAGTGTCCTTAAAAAGAACCCAAAGTTTAAATTTCAAGCAAATTCTCTTCTATATTAAAAAATCCGCCATATTGGATCCGCTAATTTGATTTTTTTTCTTCAAAAATATTATAAAAGTGTCACCGGAACTCAATACGTGTGCAACATTTCAGAAAAATTGGGATAATAGAAGTGATCGATAAAACTGCTGCCAGATTTTGCAAAAACAAATTATGTTAAAGTTAAATAAAATCGTTTTAAAAATATAAACTATTTTTATACCGCGATATCTCTAATGGTTTACTCAGGCAGTGTTTTTTATCGCTGGCAATAAGTATTACATTAAAAATATTACTCCATAAAATATGTTGGGACATTTGCACTAAACCAATGTTACAGCATCTTAAACAAATTAGCCTTTACTTTTAACTTTAACAAACTCACCTATTAAATTTTAAGCAGTTAGTTTTATTAACTGTCGAATGATATTAATTAATTCTATACTTTTCAATTTACAACAAAAAAATAAATACAACTCTGTATACATTCAACGGAAATTTATTAAATACGTCTCTGTGTTCTACCGCTATTAAATGGCGGCCCAATTCGTGAAACGTCACGGATTTCAGCTCCAGTTAGGTTTCTGGTTGATATCTATTCTGTGGCTCTTCGGTAATAATTAAACAGATTTTTAAAAAGTGTTCCGTGGCTAACTTCATTCTATCCTGTCAATTTTTTCTAACCTAACTTTCTTGAAAAAAATCTAAGAAAAAAATATTTATGTGGAGGAAGTGTGGAGGATTACCGAAACTTGAATTATATTTTAATTCGAGAAGAAAATGTCCAAATTAAAACAGTCCGTAACTAAAGAAAATGTTGTTCAAGCAATTCTTGTTGCTGATACATTTGAAGATGAGTTTGTGCCCATATCAAATAATTTGCCATTGGTTAGTATGAGAGGGTATGAGTTACCTGTTTCATATAACATATTTTAAACGTTTTTTTCGTTTTTTATTTTTAATAGAATGTTTTCTGGGTTTGATAATATTTTGTTATGTTATTTTTTTATTTTAGTGTTTATTTCCAGTAGTTAACAAACCTCTTATTGACTATACTTTAGAGTTTTTATCCCTGGGAGGAGTTGAAGAAGTATTTCTCTTTTGCTGTAATCATGTTAATGAGGTTAAGTCGTATATTAGGTAAATATACCCTGTAAAGCTTTATATTTGTTTTAACATAATACATTCTCACTAAATGCCTATTAGGAAGTGTATCGATGAAGCAGTTGGTTGGACTTTAACAATGAAAGTGCAAATAATTGTGTCAGAGAGTTGTCGGTCATTTGGTGATTGTCTGAGGGATTTAGATGCAAAAGGACTCATACGAGGCGACTTTGTTCTCTTAGAACCCGGTGTTATCTCAAATATTAATTTATTGCCTTTGCTGAAGAAACACAGGTAGATATTTCTTTTAACTTTTATAAAAATAATGCCCACTTGCACGGTTTGTATAAACTTTGTTTAAAGGGTAAACAGTGATTAACTATAAATATCTTCTCATAGTTAATCACTGTTTAGCCTTTATACAAAGTTTTTACAAATGGTGCAAGTGGGCATAAGTATTATAAAACATTTTATAGTGAAATTTTACAAAATGACAAGGGTGCTGCTATAACATTAGTCTTTCAAGAATCTGCCCTTGGTCATAGGAGTCTTTGTCCTCAAGATGAAAGTTTGGTAGCTTATAATAATAAAAACAGAGTTTTATTTCATAAAAAAATACAAAAGTCCAGAGATAAGAAAGCTGTATTTCCTATAGTAAGTATATAACAATTCAAAAATAATACAATAAGTACAGGAGTCATGAGCGTCTGGCTTTAGATAGATGAAGCAGGTGTCTTTATGTAAAAATCTCTGGTTCACTGGTTCTCCATAAACCTCTAACGTGTCATTGCTGTGAATCGCCCTATATAAAGGGATATAATATATTGTTTCAGGAAATATTCCTTGAAAATTCTTCTGTTTCAATTCAACATAACCTTAGAGATACCCACATAGCTATTTGTTCGTCGTCAGTGTTGCCACTATTTTCAGATAATTTTGATTTTCAAACAAAGGATGACTTTATTAAAGGATTGCTTATAAATGAGGAAATCTTGGGGAGTACAATTTATTGTCATATTTTGAAAGGGAGCGATTATGGCAGTGCTATAAATAACTGGAGAATGTACCAAGCCATAAGGTAAAAATAATATTCAATATTTATGTATAATGTCTTGAAAGCTTTTTATTAGTTTTTATCTGTTGAGGGAATTTTTGGTTGTCCTAAAAATTGTTTTTTTCCATAGCAACTGTTAAAATTGCCTTATATCTATCAAAAATAGTAGATAAAATAGTACTTTAACCGCAAGGGTAGATTAAAGCTCCGCGCGCACTGAAGGGGTATCGGCGGGAGCGAGCGGCACGTAATTTTCAGTTTACGTTGAAATAAATGTAGGCCCGCGCACCGCATTAGATCGGTGCGCTTCGAGCTACCGGCGCCATTCGCGGTACCCGGCGCCATCAGGCGAAATCAGAGAATGCATAGGAGGGGGACGAATAGTCTACGCCAAGCGACTGTTTTTAGTGGAGCGGTTTTACATTAAACATTATCGATGAATTATTAATCGAAAGTGTACGAGACCATATCATACTTAATATGCGGTTTTTTATAAAAATTTCTTACAAGCACGTAACCCATATTGTTTAATACACTTATTCAATAACTGAATTAGAAAACCTTCCGATTAAACCCCTTTATTTCTCATCTCGTTTTGATTATCTCACATTATTACGGAAATCTAATATAAATATCGTCAAAAAACTTATTATTATATTATTTAATTTTTGGTTTGTTTTGACGTTAGTAATAACAGCTGATAAATAATGTTATTATGTTGATCGCTCCGTACAAGGTACAAATAGAGAAAATAATATTTATGTTTGAATAAAATATTTGTACATATATCTACCCATAGATAAATGCAATAAGTTTAGATTGGAAAGCCCGTAAAAATTTTGGTACGCGAAATTATTTTGGGTCGCGACCGTTATACGCGATCTGGCGCTGCTATAGCGGTCGCTAAGAACAACGGCAAACAAAAATAGAAATAATTTTCTCTTGTCAAAGTCAGAATCTTCAAAAATCATAATAATTTTTCAAAATCTAAACCACTCTCATTAAAGAAATTCCGAAAAGTGTTTATAGCGTCCATTTTCAAAGTAATTATTGCTATCTTGTGAGTTTAATTCAAGTTTTATTTACTCCAACCGGTGATAATTGTGAAAAAGTGGCATTAAAAACTTAAAAAAAAGCTGTGCTGTAAACTGTGAACTGCAAGAACCATCGTGGATCGTGGCATAACGTCGGTTTCCAATGTTTCCTAGGTATTTCATACATGCGTCCTTATATAAAATAAAGTTTCTTGTATGAAACACACCGTATTTTATTTATAAAATTAAACGAAAATAATAATAAATTTGAATAAACAATATTTGGCGATATAATACCGGAAAAGCCGAACCGCTCCGAAATTTTCAAAAGTTTTGGGTCGCGACCGTTGCAAGAATAGCGCCAAATAGTATTTACATTGTCCTCATGGGCACTTTCCAATCTAAACTTGTTTCGTTTATCTATGTATCTACCGTATGATAAAAAACGGCGTCCAGTTGGATGGGAAATGACGATTGATGACATTTCCCATATAAATTTACATATAAAATGACACCGACCTTCATTTCATGGCCATCGCTGATTCCGTTTCTTTTCGATCATACGGTACTATAAAATAAAAACTATATATTTTTTCTTTTTATGATTTTCTTTGACTTTTTTATTATATTTTAAGGTTTTAAAATCTTGGTTTTAAGTCAGTAGTGAATAAAACAAAACTTTTGTTTACATTTTGTTTAATGATTGACGTTTCGACGAATTCTAATTTGGTCTTCTTCAGAATCTATAATATACAATACTATTTTATCACTAACAATGTGTTTATGTAATTTTTCTTACCACAAACGTAGAACATCATTTATGTGTATATTATAGATTCTGAAGAAGACTGAATTAAAATTGGTCGAAACATCAATCATCAATCATTAAACAAAATGTAAACAAAAGTTTCGTTTTATTTACTACTGACTTAAAACCAAGATTTTAAAAACTTAAAATAGAAGCTATATATATATATATATATATATATATATATATATATATATATATATATATATATATATATATATATATATGTATATAGTTTATAAAATTATTTTATAAATGTTTGTAAAGACACTTATTTAGATTAAAAAACTAAAAATAGAAGTTTTGACTATTTTTCATATCTAGCTTTGTTTTTAAAGATCAAATTAAATCCTTTTGAATGACACCAAATTTGTTAAAATCGGTCAAACTAAGAGTAATGAAAACTTCTCCTCGTCTCTGCTGAAATATATGCTGGTGACGTACTCTCGACCGTCGATTGTGCGACTCCAGTGCGCGGCTACCATCGACTTTCCGACCGGTCGTGTCGTTCGCTCGCGCCGATACCCCTTCAGTGCGCGTCCTCCTTAAATGATACTTTAACAGCGAGGATAGGTTAAAAACTTTATTTCTTCTCGCACGTTTTTTAATTGCTTCCATTTTTGAAAATTTTTGTATTCCTGTTCATAAGTTATTCGGGATTTAAATGGAAGTAGTTTGGATATGGCATTTGTCGCCTCAGCCTGAATCGAGGCCTACGTGAATTATATGGCCGCAAGATACCCTTCGCACCGCGCCTGTGACGTCACAATCTGAGGGTCATCACTCGGCGATCAGCTGTTGTGTTTACATAAATTAGTATGTAAATGCCGAATTTGTGCCGGGTTTATGTTCTATTTTTGATCGAAAAAAATATGTTTTCTAGTTGAAATCAGCGTTCAAATTATTTGTGGTGTGAAAATAGTGCTGTGCCTTGAGTGTAGCTAGCAAAAACTGTGACATTTTTTAGAATATCTGTGGTTTTTACATCAGATGAGGTTTTAAACTTAACCTCTACAAATTGTGGTATGTAGTTGTTTGTTGTTTTATACCTGTTTTTCATACAATACAAACCACTTTCTCTCATAAATATGAGAGATTTTTTCAAAATTCTTTTACAAATTGCTTATATAGGTTCAATCGAGGGTTCAATAAAGAAATAATCCCTGGGGAGAGCATTAAAAAATTATTCCAAAATAGGAAGGGTACATGATTGTTTCTGTGCCTGTTTAAATAAATATTCTGCCAAATATCCAATCATGTACCCTATTATTTATTATTTTGATGTCATTGCTTCTTCAGAAAATGTAGAAATAAATAGTGAGCAATATGCTTCATTATTATTTATAGCAGGATATTGCTCTCATTCAATAAAATACACTAGTGGATGTGAAATATGCAAAACTGTTATAACTTCAAACGAAGAATTTACTGTCCATTTTGAAAAGACAAAGTATCAAATGTTAGTGAATACTTACTCAATATTACCCGAGGTGCATTGAAAACACAATCAGAAATAGTATTTCAGTTTGTTATTGACATATTTAAAATATTTTGTATGCTCATATCATCAGACTATGAGCATGAATTTTTAACTTCATTTTCCCAGCAAAAAATTCTTAAAAAGTTGGCTTTAGTCAAGGCGGAAAATTTCATGGAAAATTATCCAGAGATCTGTAATTCATGTAACAAGCCTTTTAAAAGCATTATTATAAAAATTGCTCGTGTTTTGAGTAATATTTTTCTGAACAACTATACTAAAAATCGTTCTGATCAAGCATCTGTATCAAACATGCCACAAGTTTCTTCTAGAAAAAACAGAAAATTACTCACATTTTCAAAATAATAAAAAAAACCGTCATTAGATTAGGTATAAATTTATAGTACTAATAATAATTAATATTTTATAATTATTTATTATAATAATTTATTAAAAGTAATAATTTTTCTAACCTTTAACCATTTGCATATAATTTTTGTTTATTTCTAATTTATTTTTTCAATAAATTATTTTTATAGAAAGCTCCAGTTGTACTTTATTTGTTACTAAAATAATACTTATCTGGTGGGATCCGAATCGAATATGACCCTCATCTTGTGACGTCACATTTTCCAATATTGCGGCCATAAAATTCACGTAGGCCCCGCCTGAATATCTCTTGGTAATTTACTTATTTCGTTTTGAGCCATTTCTGGCTCCAATTCAACAATTCAGCAATCGACACGAAAGAGAATTAAAAAATATTGACTCAAAACTGACAGCTAAAGAGACAGCTTTATTTATTTGTCAAATTACATAGAATCCGCCATTTCATCGCTCGTGAATTAATCTTTTCGGTCGACGATAAAATACCATTTTATCGTCTTGTATAAAAAATAACTATTTGTAAATTTTTACTACACTTAAATAATTAACCTATCCTGCGCTTATCACTTCATCTGAGTGGTCTGTATTTTAATGCATGCGACAGAGATAAATATAAATGACTGGTTGACAGACAGAGAGACAAAATAAAAAGCGGCATACAGTGTTGCCGGTTTTTACGTGTGTAGAAAAAAATAAACTATTTTAAAAACTTTCATGTATATACTGAAATGAAGCTAATATATCTAAGCTAAATATAATCTATTACAGCTGTAGTAAAATGAGTAATTGTGAAAAATAAAGTTCCAACCCTAGATGCAACATTTTTCGTAAACTCCTATTTGTGCGGTTCGAAATTTTGATGCAAAATCTGGCAATACCGCGTAGAAGAAATGTATCAACCCAACTTTTTTCTCTTTTTAATACATTTGATTTTCCATTAAGCTGTCTACATCACTGTCTTACACGTTACAATCCAGACCACGCAGTTTCAATGACCAGATCGGTATAGCAAAGATGAAAAAAAATATTTCTTTTTTTAGTTTAGAACTGAAAAATAAGTGGGTTTACCCTATAGTTCCTCCAACTAAAAGGTAAAAGTATAATACATTTGATAAACATAAATTATATCTAATTTTTTTCTAGAAACAGGGTGATACCAGAAGATTCTATATATTCTCTGAGCAGTGTAATGGGCTTAAACTCAACTATGTACAGAAGTGTTATCGGTTCAAATGTAACGATAGGGGAAGGAGTAAAAATTCAAGATGCATTTATTTTTGATAATGTTCATATTGAAGATGACGTTGATATTTCTCTAAGCGTTATTGGTCCAGGTTGTGTCATTAAAAAAGGAGCGAAAATAACAGTGGGGTCAATTTTGGGACAAGGAGTTATTATTGATGAGAATGTTTTTGTGGAAAACACGCTAGTTCAAAATCGTCCATCAGAAGATGGTAACAAATATATACGGTAATCGCAAAACATTTTTCGATACACGTCATCAAGCATATCGAAATTGACACTAAAATCTGTAAACCTGACTAAATGAAATTTTGGCAAAAATGTTTAAATTTGTTGTATAATTTAAGATGCCGAGTAGCTCTTCATTTTACTTTATAGAGCAAATGATTGTAACAGATATTTTATTTAGACTGAAGCTGCAAAAATTAGTTTAAAGCGATTTTTATTATCGTTGGGCACATTGCGCCTTGATCAGCAAGGTTGTCTTTTATTATTTGACAATTATCATAAAGTCAGTCATTATTTTATATAATATTATGTTGTTGTTGAATCTTTGGGAGTAATTCTCGTTTTTTGGTGATTTTCATAGACCTTTTTTAAAAATTGTACTTTTAAGCACAAACGGTTTTTTTAAGAACTAAATTTTCGAGTTTTTGTATTGCATTTCTTGAAATTGTGTGATGAAAATATGCCGAAGAATTTAAACAGTCGAAGCAAAGAGCTTGTATCTTGTAGAATTTCCCAGAGTCTGTATTCAGTATAGTAAACGCCACGAATGTTTGGGAGTGATTCATCGGTCGCTACCATGTGAACTAATCTGTTCAAGGTCGCATAAAACTTAATTCCAGTGCCGTGGTGTTTCAAGTCATATAATAATCAATATATAATCTGTTTTAATTTGTTGTTTTAACTGTCAAAGTCTTGTCAAAACATAATATATTTGGTTATAAATATAAACTGGAATGCCCCATTGGTCGCACTGCCGGCACACCAATGGACTGACGCACAAAAACAAATCAAAGAAACGCGATATAGTATCGTCTTTGTCAATCACGCTAACATTTTAGAATAGGTAGGAGGAGCGTAGGCAGATGATTAGACCGGGCTTTTAAAAACCTACGTCTGCGGTAAAAATTTACGTTTTTAATGTAAAAATCATAGCGCGCGTGTCGATTCTAACTTCGTCAAGGGATGTCACTCCCAAACATTCGTTTACTATAACAGTTTAGCAGTCGTACGAGAAGGTTGTGTTACCGTTCGTGCGTTTTGTCTGCCGGTTATTGAACGTTTGTTTTGTTTCGATTTGACTAGTTTTTGATTTGTTTTTGTTCCTGGCCCGAAATCAACTCAAAGTTCACTGTTCGTTTAAACTTGACTTTGTTTACTTGTGTTAGTTTTTTGCAACATTAATTGATAATTTTTCGGCGTACTTGTTTCCGCTGTGCGTGAGTTTTAGCTTGTTTATACTTCCGAATTTTATTCAGCTGTCATCGACTTTTATTAAGATTATCAATCATTTATATTATTATGGCTGAATTTAAGTGCGATTCTTGTCAAAAAATCCAAAAGGACAGTTATAAAGTTCGCTGTAGTGGAGAGTGTCGAAGAAGTTTTTGTATGACCTGTACAGGACTGGATAAGGCAACAACAAAGGTGCTATGTCAACAAAAGTACCACAATGTTAGATTTTTCTGCACTGTCTGCGATTCCCCAACATTAAAATATGTTCATGATAGAATTACACAGCTTCAAGAATGCCAGGTCCAACCAGAAATCATCGAAGCACTAGGATTCTGTTTAAAAAAAATATTGACATTTTTCCAGTCATAACTGAAATGTATGCTGAGTGACCACGATTCCAAGTGGAAAATTTTACTCAAGAAAATTGATGACATATCCAGGATATCAGATACCACATAAGAATCCTTATTTAAGTCAATAAATGAAATAAAGCAAGACATCTTCATGACCCATCTAAGGAAGAAATGGCGAGGGAAATGGCTGACCTTAGGCAGAGCGTTAAACAAATGTCGCTCACATTGGAAAAGCTTGTTACAAAGGATAAGACATGTATAAATCATAATATGCAGCGGAAAAGTCCATTTCAACGCAGACGGGCCCTATAGATCACCAAAATAGTACAGCTTTTATAGATTCGCCAAAAAAAAATAGTTTCACCCGAAATAGTGTCATCGCAACCTCCTAAGGCCGCCATAAGAGAAGACTGGAATTATGTGGTGGTGTCCAGAATTCCACCTCCTTACACAGCGAATCAACTTGCGCACTATGTTAAAGAAAAACTAGGAACCACCGATTTCATCAGATGCTTTCCAATGCTGAAAAATAAGGACAGTTCCCATTCCGATTCCAAAATTGGAGTGCAAAAGAGGTGTCACTTAGTGCAGCTTAAGGACATAAATATGTGGCCGCCGGGAACCATAATAGATTCAACCTCAACATCCTTAAACCAAACTTCGTTAACTTCTTCGGCTGAACCTGCTCTAAATCTCAAAATAAACATCATTGAGAACCGCAAGCTACGTCACCTACTTGACCCAACACTGGCAACTATGCCAAGGGAGGTAAGAAGTATTAAGATTGGTTCTGACAGGGAGGCTATAGCTGCTTGCAAGTCCCTAGCGATGGAAAATCCAGAAATAATTGTGCAGGGAAGTATGAAGAGAGATGGTTTGATAGTTATGGACCCGATGACTCCACCTATAGTACGGCTGTCTCAGGACTCAGATGCGGTAAATGGACGTTACGTGTTGGCCAGGTTGAGGGACCCCTCCATTTTGAAATCTCTTAGGCTATTCCTTGCCTGTCTTCACGACCAACCATCCAGTGTGTGTTTTGAAGGACACACTAGTACCAGCATCAAGTGACCTTTACATTATTTGTATTTATAGAACACCTGACTCTGACGTGCAATTATTCTGTTATAATCTACTAAGCTTGCTTGAGTCCCTGCCCTTGAAAAGCAAACTAATTTTGTGTGGTGATCTTAATATTGACTTTCTTAGTGTATGTGCTGCTCAGGAGTTTCTTCAGTCCATTTTTGATTCTTTTGGAATAACCATGCATGTAGGCTCACCTACCAGAATATCCAATACCAGTTCTAGTAGCATAGACTATGTTGTGTCATCTTTTGATCCTAACTCCATCCCCTGCAACGTCTTTAGCTCGGGTCTTTCTGATCATGAAACCGTTTTAACTGAATTTTCGATAAAGTCCAAAATCAAAAATGCCCCTCGTAAATTATTACTTATGTAAAACAACCAACTGGGATACTCTCTCTTATGATGTCGACACCGAATTTTCTATTTTCGTAAAAACATTAACCAGTCTAGCGTTCAAACCCTTTCCTCTTAGGCCTATCAAAATTAAGCATAATAAGCCTTGGACCATTAAAGGTCTACGCATATCTTCTAAAAACATGCGTTCATTATCTCACTTAAAAAAATTCTCAGACAGTGTCTTCTTCCACAGTTACAGAAAAATTTATCATAAGACTATAAGAGCCGCTAAGGCCCTTTATTATAATAGGAGAATAGTCAATTCTGGTAATGTTGCTAAAGAAACAGGGTCTATTGTGAATGAATTGAGAAACAAAGCTTCTTCATCTAGCAATATCTCTACCTCACCTGAAAACCTTAACGATTACTTTGTAAATGTAGCGAGAAACTTAATTAATACCATATGTCCTTCTCATGATCCACTTTCATATCTCTCTAATGATAATGTAAACTTACACAGTTTCTTTTTTTCGCCCGTAGTTTTAGAGGAGCTTCGCAGTACAATTAATATCATCAATACCATCAATTCTGGAACCGATGGGCTAACTTTAAAAATGTTTTCGAATCTGCCAGAAAGTACTCTGAATCACCTAACAACTTTAATAAACATGTCATTCCAAAATGGTATTTTTCCAAAATGTCTTAAGACGGCAATAATCATTCCTCTGCATAAAGGAGGAGACAAAGATGAAGCTTCTAACTATCGCCCAATTGCACTCCTTCCAACGCTATCTAAGATCATAGAAAGGTTGGTTAAAGGAAGGCTTGTATCTTTTCTGTTTAAGTACAAAATACTTACTGAACATCAGTTTGGATTTCTAAGCAACAAGTCCACAAAATGTTTTCCCTCCTTAATAAAGTTTACTCCAGCCTAAATAACCATCATTCTACAGCAACAATTTTCTGTGATTTTTCTAAGGCGTTCGACTACTAAACTGCAGCTCTATGGGTTCAGGGGAATATCTCTCGAATGGTTTAAGTCGTATCTGAGCTACAGAAGTCAACTTGTGAGGGTGGATACCACGTTGTCTTCTAGCAAGCCAATAGAATGTGGAGTACCACAAGGCTCAGTGCTAGGTCCCATTTTGTTTCTTCTTTTTATTAACGACATTGTAAACATCAGTGGCAAAATATGTCTTTTTGCCGCCGACACTAGCTTCACTTGGAGCAACAAGGACGTCACGGCACTTCATAGGGTTATATCAAATTACTTAATCACCATTAAATCTTGGTGCGATTCGAACCTCCTGAGTCTCAACATTTTTAAAACTAAAGCTTTGTCGTATAAAAACTCGCTGCAGCCTTTTGTACTTAACAACACCACCATTGACGTCGTAAAATCTGTAAGGTTTTTATGGCGTATTGTGGACAATTCCCTGAAATGGGTCATGCATATCGAAAGTTTGTCGAAAAAATTGAGCTCTGCCTGTTTTGCGTTAAGATCTGTTTCTAAGGAGCTTAACTTGTCAGTGGCTAGAACTGTTTATTATGCACTTTTTGAGTCGCACCTCAGGTATGCCCTTCCATTCTGGGGTACGTGTTGTGCGACTCAATTTGACCGCATTTTCAAGCTCCAGAAGAGAGCTGTTCGATATTCACTGGGGCTAAACAGCAGAACTCATTGCCAGGACTTTCTTAAAAAATTAAAAATATTAACACTTCCTTTCTTATTTATATTTGAATCCGTTTGCCTAATACGTAAGCATGTATCAGCTTCTCAAGAAAGGCGATCTCACACTTATCCACTCAGGAACGCGGAGCAAGATCTTTATTTACCTACCCCACGCTCAGAGTTAGTTAAAAGTACAATATTATACAACTCGAAAAAAATGCACAATCACCTGCCATTTGAAATCAAATCCATAACATCATTTTCTTCATTTCAAGCATTGAACTCTTATTTACTAGACAAGGCT